GTGGTTGTTCGCATCCCTGGCCCAAGACAAGTCTGAAGAGCCTGTGACCATGTCTCTCATGGTGTTATGGTTTGGAGGTGAGGTATCCCCCAAGAGCTCACGTGTGAGACCATGCAAGAAGATTCAGAGAAATGATTGGGTTGTAAGAGTCTTAACACAATCAGTGAATTAACCCCTGATAAGCATTAACTGAGCGCTAACTGAAATGGCGGGTGGGGCCGGAGGAGGTGGGAAATGGGACGTGGCTTTGGGTAGATATTTGTGAATGGTGAGTGAAGTCTCTCTCTGCTTCCAATTCACCATGTGAGCTGCTTCCCTCTGCCACCCTCTCCCGCCGTAATGCCCTGCCTCACCGCAAGTCCCATTTGAGAAAAAGGTTTGTGACCAGGTAAAAGAAACCTCGGGTGTTATAGTCAGAATTTCTTACGTCGTTACATCAGGTCCAAGAAGTATTGGAAGTGTTTGCATGAACTGATTTGGACAGAATCCCACATTGTTCTGGGACGGTGCCTTTCATATTTTTATCATTATTCTGGTAACAGGTCTCTGCCTTTTTGTGATGGTTCATTTAATGTGTCCGCTGGCTGGCCTGCTGCCCAGATATCCAGTCAAACATTACTCTGGATATTTCTGAGAAAGTGTTTTGGGATGAGTTATATTTGATCCAGGAGATTCTGAGTGAAACACATTGTCCCCGTCAAGGGGGGTGAGCCTCACTCCATCAGGGGAGTCCCGAAAAGAACACAGATGCCTTCGCCCCGCCAGGAAGAGGGGATCCTGTCAGACGCCTTTGGAAGCCTGAGCCTGGGCACTTAGAGGCTCCACAGCAGGGTCCCTTCAGTCCTTGGCCACGTGGCACCGTCTCTGGGCACATGCTGTAGGGGAAGGGCCTTCACACGTTGCTCCTCCAGGGTTCTGTGGCCAGTTAACCGGCCCTGTGCCTGGCCAGATTCTCACGTGCTCTCTGTTGGACAAAATGTCCTGCTGCCCTTGGACTTGGGCATGAGCATCTGACCTCGGCTCTGCTGAAGGTCAGGTCTAGTTCAAGTCCATGCCCAGCAGCACCCTCAGGCAACTGCACTGGACGTCTCTCTCTCTCTCTTTTTTTTGGGGGGGGTAATACTGGGGATGAAACCCTGGGCCTCAAGCACGCTTGGCAAGTGCTTGTGCTCCACCACTGAGCTGCTCCCACCCGTGCTTGGTTTTTCTTTTCGTGGTGCTGGGATCGAACCCAGGGCCTTGTGCATGCGAGGCAAGCCCTCTGCCAACTGAGCCACCTCCCCAGCCCTGTGCTTGGCTTTTCATTCTCTTCTCTTCTGAGCTATGTAAACAGCCCAGCCGCTGTCCCATCATATCTCCTCAGCAGGACTGATGATTCTGATGTGCAGACTCACCTCCCCGTCATCCCTCTTATGTGTCTGTATTGACATCCAATCAATAATCATTTCTATTTAGGATGAGACAATTCCCTTCATTACACAGGGACCAGGTTTATGGTTGTTGTTTTTTTTAATCTGTTCTCTGGAATCCCATGGGACATGCCACTTTTGTTTCATTCTTTGCCATCTTTTGCTGAACATGCTGCCCTCCTGCTTTACTGTGTAGAATCACGCACCCAGCACCTCCTCTGTCCACGTGGTGCCTCCACTTCTTCCCTTTTAGGAACTGGTTGGAGAGGTTTACATCACGCCCGTTTTAGTGGAGTTGGAGTCAGTAGGCCTCAAGAAGCTTTTAATATGTTAATTAATCAAGCAGTTTGCTAGTCTCCTTCAGCAAATCTGGTCATTGAAATCTTAGGCACGCGCTCTGGAGGTATATGTTACTGCTAAACTTACATGTCAGTGGTTGCTGCGATTGCTCAATGTTAAGGAGAGAAAATCTCCCTGGATGCTGGGAGCATGTGTGCTACCACCTGGCACCAGAGCTATCTGTCCCCCCACAGGCCATCTTGCACAATTCTGAGGATGCCGGCAAACTTTTGGGAGACCATGGCACCTGAGAGCACAACTCCTCAACGCAGACAGGTGTCTGCAGTCTTGGATGAGTCCTCTCATGGGTGATTTCTAGGAAACTGATGGCAGGCCAACGTTTGGGGGTGGTTGAATTAGTTTTTCTAAAATCACAGTATACTTAAGATAATTTCTAAGTCTTACTTACATTCCTGTTTCCCTGTGCTCTTGGGATGGACAGGATGCTGAAAACTGCCTTTAATACCTAGCCAGTCTTACCTGGAGGAGACTCCCAAGTGACCAACCATTGCTGGTATGCTATGGACGGCTGGAGCCAGCGTGGGTTACTCCACACCCATGAGATGTTGTCTCTGCTTTTCCCGCTGCAGGTTTTAGAGATCTGACCACCACATAGGCAGAGGACATCTTTTGAGTGTTGTCACAAGGGGAAGCTATGCTTGCAAGCCAGCTCAGGAAGGCTCTTCTCAGCCTCCTGGGCCTGGCTTTCTTGTCCCCAAAATCAAAGGCGCTTTCCTGTGTCACCGGCTGGGCAAGGACACAAGGGTGATCCTGTGGAAAGCACCTTGAGTGGGGTGTGTTGGGAAAGTGACTGGGCCACAGCTTTTCAGTTGAATGCAGAACATCTCAGAGAAATAGTTGACGGGTTTCATACTTGCCTGCGTTCTTCAATAGACCATGACGAACTCAATTTAAGCTCTTTCTGATGACTTAGCATCACTATTATAACACTGGTTTTTGCAATATGATATAATAGTAATGCACGGGGGACCACTGGAGGAGAGATGTTTATCTTTTCACTAAATGATCCCAGACTTTGACTTTTTATAGCTTCCTTGTTAATCTTTTCTTGTTTTTTTGGCCGTTTGCTTTACATCCTCAACTCACCCCTCTGAGCAGGTCACTTCTGATATTCTAAAGTGTAAAATCAAAAAAATACTAACTGTTGGGGGCAAAAGAGGAATAAGCAATCTTCAAAGGCCTCTTCATCTTAACAATTCCATTCACAGAGTCAAGAGAAAATTGGTCTGAGGGGCAGGAAGGTCACAAGGCACCTGGACAGCCAGGCTGAGGTCCTCAAGGACACCAGGGTCCCTAAATACCTGAGGTCCAATGTAATGTGAGAGTCTCCAAAATATTCTGAAATCTGGGCTTGGTGTGCACCTCTAATCCTGGAAACTCTGGGAGGCTGAGGCAGGAGGATTACAAGGTTAAGAGCAGCCTCAGCAACCTAGTGAGACGCTGTCTCAAAATAAAAAATAAAAAGGACTGGGGTGGAGCTTAGTGACAAAGTACTTCTGGATTCCATCCTCAGTGCAAAACAAAACCAAACCCCAAACCCTGAATCTTAGGTGGGTAAATGTGATGTCCTATTTGCAACTAAAATTTTTCCACATTTCTTTTTCTCTCTCTTTTTTAAACTCTGTAGTTTTACTCAATGGGGCAAAAGAAACACTGATCCAGTCAATCACAGTTTTTAAAAAGGGGCTTATTATGGTTTTGGTTTGGCCACATTTAAGAGAAAAGATGAGTAAGTGTGGCTAACCCAAAGGTGGCCCTGGATGGGTGCTCAGGGGCTCCAGGCTGTGGGTGGCCGGTCAGGGGCTCTGGAATCCCCTTTTCTCGTCCCTGAGAGCATCACGTGCCTATCCCAGCGGGGGGGGGGGGCGGGCAGGGGCACAGGGACAGCCCCTGCCCAGGACGTGGCCGGTGCTGAGGGCTTTCCCGGAGGAAGGCTGGCAGGGACGCCACCCCAGCTCACCCCTCTCTCTGAAACGGAGTGTCCTCCCGTCTGGTTTACTGCCTTTCACACCCACAGGAGGTTCCCTGGAAGAGCGGGGAGGCCAACGAGCCGCTGGGCCGCCTGCTGCCAGGGAAGCCCCAGGGCGCTCCGCTGCGGCAGAGGGCCTCCCGGGGCCTCCCTCTGGGAACCTCAAAGGACTTCTGCGGGCTGTTTCCCGTCGCAGACCTTCCCAGGACAGCTTCCAGCGAGCCCCCCAGCAGGACTTCCCCAAGGCCTCCCAACCCGACTCAGGCCAAGAGCAGGCCCCTGGGACCTGGGGGTCCGACCCTGAAGCCCGTTCAGCTCTGGAGCCGGAAGACTTGGGGCTCCCAGCAAGCCTGCCTTCCCCAGCCGCCACCAGGGCCCTGGGCGTCAGGGGACCTCGGTCCAGCTGGCAAAGTGGGTGGGCACCTTGGGCACAGGTGACAGAACCCCTAGCCCTGCCGCTCAGTTCCCCAGACCACACGTGGCCCTGGCAGCACGTCCTCCCTCCTGTCCTTCTCCAAGTCCCCAATGCACCACTTTCTGTGTGCTTATACGGGCCCTGACCAGGGGCAAACTCAGCTCGCCCAACCACTCCTTGGCTGAAGGACTGACGTTTCAGTGGAAGGAAAGCACTTCCTGATGAGAACATCATCCTCGCTCAGATGCGGTGGCCCTGTGACTCCCTGGCACTTGGTAGAGGGGCCATCACTGGGGCCCTCTCCCTCCTGCATTTGCTGGAAAAAGTAGGTCAATCGGTGCAGGTGTTTTTAAAAATCCTTATCAGTGATATTTCAACCAGAACTGCCAATAAATTTAATTACTGAATTAAAAAACCCCACGTCAGTGTGTGGTGGCCCTGGGAGTGGTTGACTTGATGTCCTGATGTGTTAACTTCAAGGAACTTTGTTTACTAGATGAAACTTTGACAGGGTTTATTTTGTTTCCTTTGAAATATAATTAATAAAATCCTACCAAGGAAGGAAGACATCCTAAAAATATTCAAAATGAAGTGAAACTACTGAAGTAAAAAATACTTTATATAATTGTTGGAAAGAGTTGCCATACATAGGTCTGATCCTCTCTTTGGCTTGTAGCGGAAATCGATATAACCAAGAACCTCAGAGTGGTCTGTGTTAGTTGTGCACTACGAAATTTGTTACAATACAACACAATCGTTTCTACAAAACCAAATTTAATATACAACAAACACTCACCATGTAAACACATCTTTCAAAAAATTCTGATAATTCCAAGGATCACTTACAGGCTTTCATAAAAGCATTTTATATCAAGAATCTCAATACAGAATGATTTCTATGTCAAAATACATTTACACTGTAAATTGTTTAGAGAGAAAGAGAGGGAAAAAAAAGAGAGAAAGAGAGAAGAAGACACAGAGGAATAGTTTGCTGGCATTGAATTCAATAGCAGCAATTGCCCCTGATATTTTTCCTTCATCTTCTACTTCATACATTTCTGACAGAACATATTAACCTACCCTTCTCTACTTGGTCTATGCTTTTATTCACTCTATCAGCCAGATAAAAATATCAAGCCATGATCACCATGCTCCTCCCAGCTCTCTAACTCCAACCTGCCCAGAGCATCCACTCCCAGCTGGGTGCCCAGCCAGCAGGCCTCTTCAGCCTGGCCGCAACCTCAGCTTGTAGACAACACGTTAGGCGTTAGACAGTAGTTATCCAATGCAGAACTGGAGAAAAGTCACGTAGAACCACAAGTGGAGATTGATCACACAATTTTATTAGAGTCTTTTGAACAAGTGTATTCCTCTGTGAAAAGCTCTTGCAAAAGAGACATTGGAGTGTACTATTTTCAACCCTGAGCAATAACACTGCATACCAAGGAGGGCGGTCAAGAAGCTGGTTCGATTGAAGCACAAGCACAAGCCACTGATATTCTCTATGTGATCAGGTTTTTACAAAAAAATACATAGTTTTCAATAAATAATGCTTAATTTTACAACTTTGATACAGCAATGTCATACACTGTTTCACACACTAAACTCCGCATGCTAGATAGTCTACCCGAAGACACAACTTTGCCATGCATTTTCTTTCCCTAGTGCTATCAAACACCGCGTGCTCCAGCGCACTGCCTCAGGTAGCTCGGCCCTCTCTGTCCCCACACCAGGCCCCGCGCCAGGCCCTGCGCCGGCATGCAACTCTAAAAGGTCCCCCCCACAAACCACTCAGACTTCTACACAAAGGGCTTTGCGGCTTTCCGCTCCCAAACCTGGAGTGGCTCTGAAAGTCAGTTTCCTGTGTGGCCCAACAGTGTCATGCTGAAGACGGCTCAGACCGCCTGTCCTGGTGGCCGCCTCGGAGCACTGCAGGACACCATGGCCACTAGGAGTCCCCAACCTGAAAAACAGGCCTCCGTTTTAAAACAGTCCATTCAAACAAAGGTGTCACAGAACAAATGCAAAAGACTCTGAACCCACAACATATGTACAAGAGCAAAAGTACACAAGAGGGAAACCGAGGACAGTGGCGTACAACGTCTCCCTGTGTGACCCGAGGGATGAGGCGTACTGTTTGTGAACATAAACTGGGTGAAGAAAAATGTGATAGAGGGCCCTTTGTCAAGATCCATTTGATCAAAATTCTTTCTATGGTATGTGATTATTTCCAGTTGCTCTTTTTGAGAAGGCGGAATGTAACCTCTCTAGTAAAATAACCGTCACATTAAAAAAATCTCTTTGAGGACCCTGGAGGAATTTCTATTTTGTATACGTCTTCAAACTTGTTGTCATATTGCTGTATTTTGTCATTTTTTACAGGAGAGAAAATCAAGTCTACGTGACTGCGTAAAAGAAGTTTGATCAAACAGTGAGACTGAAGCCTCCACATGTGCACATCCAGGCTGCTTTGATCCAGCAGTTGCTCCTTAGAGCCACCTCTCAACATGGCCCTGCTGCTGTCTGTGGCTTGTTTTGCCCACAAAGTTGTCTGTTTTCAACTGCAGCGACCAGAAGTCCCCAAACAGTGTCAAACCATCCTATCTGTGCACCGACAGAGGTACTGGGTCTGGAAAGAATCTCTCTACCGATAAAATTATTACTTTTATACATGAACATTATGAACTTATGTTTCCCTTTGTAAGCCATTTTATACTTTCTGCACTTTTGTGCTTTTCTTGAGTATAAAAATAGGTCTCCTTTAAAATTCTGTTTATTTTAAGTTCACTAAAAAACTACTTGTTTGTGAAATTCTCTTATAAACTCACTGCATCCACATGGAATAGATAAACTAATTAGGCAGCTAATGGATATAGGTAGTGTTAAAAAAATACAATGGAAAACAATGAAGGTATGTTAAAATCAAGAAAAAAAGCCAGCAGTAAGGAAAATGGAAGAGAGTGTGGTCTCTTACATTCGGTTTAACTTTTATTGTGGTTGGAAAACACAGGCTCCACAGAAAGGGGGGAGGAAACCCAAAACCTGAGTTGTTATCAAAGAGCAGAATTTTTCAGATCATCAAATCAAAGGGGACTCGGTGGAATAAATCAAATAGAATGAACAGTGAGAAAGAATCGGTAATTAAAATAAGCCCAATCTCAGAAAAGCATGTCAGGAGTTATGACGTGGAGACGGTTGCTTTGGGAACTTGTAAATTCCTGTGTTAGGACACGTAAGGCTCATTCGTGTTATCCCCACAGGCCGTAGGCTATACAAAGGGTATTGGAAACTGACATTCCTAATGGAAATTTTATAAAATTTGGCCCTTAGAATAACTGAGAAATATCCTGAAAAAATCTTCCCTGAAACTGTAATAAAGAAAGTTTCTTATCTACTGATAAAATCGACAACTCAGTAAACTATTTTCGCTGGTCTTCCTACGTAAGAAAAAAGCACAAATATAGTTGCCTCAGAAATCTGTTAAAAGCAGAGGACCTCGCAGTAAAAGAGTATAAAGATTCTATAAATGGGAGAGTCCAAGAAAACCTCTCTCCAAAGTGTCCACAAAGATACATATGCCCATTAGGAGAAAAAGTAAGAATATACATATCATTAACCATATCAGAGAATAAAAAAGTTAAGAATGATATAATATATTTATATTGAATGACTACTTGAAAATAGAGCAACTTATTTGTTTTATTTCTCAGATTCCTTGGGCAAAACTCATTTAAATTCTGAAGTGAAAAATGTACATTTCTTGTACCATACAAGTATCAAGATGAGTTGAGATTCCCAGAGAAAAACTAAGTCTTGCCTTTTGAGTCTTTTCTCTCACCAAAAAAAAAAAAAAACCTAAATCATCCTGACTGCTACATGCATGCATATTCAAATCACTTCCCCTTGATTAACATTAAAAAGAAACATTTCTGCCCAAGACTTGCAATGACTTTTTTCTAGCTAAAGGATAATCATTCTACAAATAATTTGCCCAGTGACTGTAGTCATTCATAACATACATAATAGTTGCAAAGCACAGTTTAAGTACACTGCCTTTTATTAGCATTTTTTTTTAATAAAAGGGATGCATATCAGAGTGTAAGAACTGGAAAGTATTTCCATAGCAATAATTAATAAGAGAATGCTGGTTTAAATTCTTAAAGATGGAAATCTTAATAAAATGCATTCGGTCTGTGAACTAGTTATCAACAGCAGGATACCCAACTGGCAAGGCTGCTGTGCACAGGACAACCACCCCACCCCTTGGTTACCATTTCAAGATATTCTGTCAATGCTCAGTTAAAAAGAAGACTTACTTAAGAGACAAAAAAAAAAAAAAAAAAAAAAAAAAGGGGTGGGGTGGGGTGAGTGGAATTAAACCTTTATTGAAACCTATCCAGTGGCAAGAATACCTTGTGTATTATATTATGTTCTAGACATTCAAGAAAGAATTCACTGGAGTGATTTTCACAATGCATTCATAAAAACAGCCTTAAATATTGTTAAAAGCGCAATTAAGCGCCTGTCCTGAGTTCTAATAGGTTTTTAATTTTAATCGCCAACCACCTACTTTTGTCTTATTTTCCTACCAAAACTTCGGCCACATAGCTGGAAAAAAAAAAGTCGTGATCGTGTTTCCATTCTTAAGTCAAATTATTACATATCACTAATTTATGCCTCACCACAGAAAATGCCCAAGATTCATCTATATTTAAAACATAAAACACATGCAAAATTTCAAGATCTGCCAAATACATAGAATCAGCCTTATAAAAGCGTTTGTTTTCAGTAAGTTTTAGAACTGCAGCAGAGGGCCGCCACGTAAAATCACCAGCAAGAGAAAATGTCAACTGTAAACCGCTGGTTGAATTATTCGTGGCTCAAACAAATGTCCCACCGACGGCTACATTAGTCGACCATTTGGGGGAGAGGAGAGAACGCGGTAAACAACTGAGAAACTGAGTTCCGAACTGAGCACCATCAGCCCTTTCTTTTCCCAAGAGTACTACTGCAATCTGAGGTTCACGGAAAGGAGAAGCCACCGAACAGACATCCGTGGGTCCGCAGCCCCAGCCGCTGGCCGCGCATCCCGGGTGGGGGCGGGGAGGCTCGCCCGCAGCCGCCGGAGGTCGCTGAGGCCCGAGCCCGCGGCGGGCGCGGAGGGGGAGGGGCTGCGCCAGGCGCAGGGCAGAGGGAGGGGAGGAGAGCCGGGCGCGGGGCCCCTTTGGCTCAGCAGCTCCGGTTACAGTGCGGACCCTTCCCCTAGGTTTCACCAAATCTCAACGAAATGGAAGGCCAGGTCTTGGTAAATCAATTCAGTAGGTTAGAGCCGTAGTGATTTTGCACCGAGTTTCAATTAGCCACTGCAAACCTCCTCCATTGTAGGCGCCGCGGCTCGGGGAGCTGAGCTGGGTGGCTGGCGCGCAGGGCCCCTACTCGCCTCCCCGCCTACCTCCGCGCGGCCCCCAGGGAGAGGAGGTGAAGGCACCGAAGAGGGGCCGGGGCGCGCGTGCCCGGTTACTCTTGCCAGCCAGGGCCTGTGCAAGGCTCCAGGACAGATCCGGGTGTGAAAAGGGGATGGGGTTGGGCTGGCCAGGCAAACGGTCCCCAGAGAGCAGGGAGCGCGCGCTCTGTGGATCGTGCCCGCTCCGCCGCCAACCTCGGAGCCCCGAGTCGGCCGTTCTGGGAAAACAATCAAGATGCGGAGCCACCTTTCTCGCCGGGGCCCGCAGGGAGCTGGTTCCCGGGCGGCCTAAGAGCCCGCCCACAGGGCAGGCGTGGTGAAGGCCCGGGGCGCGCGGGTGCGGCAGGCGTTTCCTCCCCGGGTTTGCTCTCTCCCTTCCTCCCACCCCACGGCCCAGTGGCTCCCCTTCCTACCAGGGGCTGGAGTCACCAGCACGGGTGTCCATCCCCACGCGCCTGCAGAATCTGCAGCGGCATGCGCCCCAGCGCTCACGGCGGCGGGGCAAGGAGAGCCAGAAATGGTACCGAAGCTCTGCCCTTTGGCCCCCTTACATTTAGCCGCTGTCAAGTCCACACGGGCACTCAGGTCGCGGTTCGCGTCGCACAGTGGCCGTGCTGCGTCCCTCCACCCAACCCGCCGCATCCTCGTTCGCCAGGCTCCCGCTCGCTCGCTACGTCTACCTCGCCGCGCCCTGAGGCCCCTAGGCGTCCTCCATCCTCAGCTCCCCCACAGCTCCATGGTTCCAGGGGAGAGGGGGGGAGGCCGAAACTGACACCTTCTCCCCAACCTTCACCCCCTTTTGCTCATCACAGCTAGAGATCAAGAACAGCGGCGTTGTTCGCCACCAGCTTCACCTCTGCGCACACGCAAAGATGCAACGTAAAAAAAAAAATTCAAAACTAGAAACAGTTGTCTCCACCCTCTGAAGGGGAGCGGAGAGGATCGGAGCACGCAGAAAGCTCGCTGCCCAAGGGCGGCCGTCACCGCGACGCACAACGGGTACGCAGACCCGCGCAGAGAACGTCCATCTCCTAGCCAGCGCATGACCCAGAGCCAAGGAGCTGGCAATCCCGTCCTCTCCAAAGGCGCCCCTCCCCGGCCAGCAGCTGAGCCTTCCGCGCAGCCCGCCTGCCTGCGGGGGTGGGTGGTTGAAGGGCTGGGAGGAGGGGAGGAGGTGAGAAAGGAAATGGTGGGGTGGGGGTGGGGACAAGGAAAGGGAAGGCAGAGAAAACTCTTCCCCTGTCTTGCACAACTAGCGGGAGGAAGAGGAAAAATTCTGCCTGCCAATTGAACACTTTTCAGCCTAACCACTCTAAATGTAAAAAAATCTCTTCTGCTACCCCTCATCCGCGCACACAACAGCCTCACCACCGAATGCGCTGCGACAACAGGACCTCCAGTTTGACTTCCATAGAGACTATGGGAGATGTGAATTTCTATCAGTTCCAGCTGATTTATTAAATTGTCAAGATACAGACTTCCAGCACAAAAAATAAAATAAAATAAAAAAAAAACAAAAAACAAACAAACAAAAAAAAAAACAGGCAATGATGTCGACAGTGCATTGAGTCTGCTTTGCCACCATTTGCTACAAAATATGCAGATGGTCTGTACTTTATTTAGATTATATTGCACAAAATGAGAAACTTTTTAAACTATGTGCCTTTTTTTTTCTTTTTTGCTAAAAATTGAGAATCCAGTTTCAAACCTTCCACCTGGGGCCCCACCACATAGCACAGCGTATGAGATACATAAACTCCTACCATAGTACAGTACATACAATCTTCAAACTAGGTAACAGCTCTGAGGTCTATATCGCCATTTTCAATAAATCTTTACCTACAAATATTGAACAAATCTCTACTATAGCTGTACAAAAAAAAATTTTGCTTTTTTTTTTTTAAACCACAAGGCCTTTAGATGCAAGGATTACTTAAAAATTTTAATCCTTTTTAAACCAGGACATAACGTACCAACATATTTGCATGCTTAAAAAAAATAGAAGAAAAAAGAAAAAAAAATCAGGAAAAAAAGAAATCAAAAGGGAAGAAGTGCCTGAAAGTCTTACTGAAAAAACACAGCAAGAATGTTCCCTTTTCACTGTACAAAAATACGCCTGAAAATATATTAATTTTTAAAAAAGACTGAGGTCTGTTATGTATCAAAAATGTTTCAATACCTTTTGTACTGAGGTCTAGGCTGTCTGGTATTCAATCAAGGAGGTATAAGGGAACAAGTTACAAAAAAAAAGTTGGCAAGTAGAAATCACATTTGTAAAACCATAAACAATTTGATCTGAAAAGTAAACTCTGATCTTAAATCAGTTCACAGTTTTTTTTTTTTTGTAAGCGTTTGTACAGTCTGCATTTTTTCAAGCTCCCTGCAGTTTTATTAAGAATCGGATGCATAGAAGACATCAGTTTTCTCCCTCCAAAAAAATAAAATGAAATAAAAAGTTGCAATGGTCCCTTTTTTTCTTTTTTCTTTTCTTTTTTTGCTTTAAAAAAAAATCACCAGTTCTTTAAGATCTCCTAAGGGGGAAAAATTTTCCACCAACTCCCTAGAGTAACAGTTGTGCTGCCAAAAGGGTCCTCTGCAGACGTCTTCCAGACTTCAAAGACCGACAAGCTTCAAACAGCGCCTTCCGGAGCGGGTCCTCCTTCCCCTCCCCCGCCCCGTCCCCTCCGCCTTTGTTGCAATCACGATTTTCAGGAAAAAGAAATAGTAATTACAAAAACACATTTTTTTGGGGAAAAAAATCACAACTCCAGACTAGGTATGCAACTACCTTGAGACACGATAAAAGAAGGGAGGGGGAACAAAAAAAAGGAGAGGAAAAATATATAAAAACTACTCAATTCACTTTAACTCCACCAAAATTTTCATCATCTTTTCCAATTTCTTTGCGTCACATCTTATCAATATCATCAGCATCTTCTTCTCTCCCCACCCTACCACCACCACCATTAAACACCACTAACACCATCATCATCATCATCATCATCATCATTATCCTGACCACCATGACTTCCTCCCAAGGAACCCTGCACCCGCCGAGAGAAAGAGCGAGAAGCCGGGCGCCCCTTTCAATACGTGAACACCAGGTCGGAGAAGTTCGCCTCCAGCCAGTCCCCCGCGATCATCTCGCTCAGCTCCGGCGTGCAGTAGTCGGGGAACTCGAAGTGGGAGCCCAGGCTGCCTTCGCTGAACGAATCCAAATCCTTATCCACAAGCGACAGGGACAGGTTCCCCGCCGCCGCGCCGCCCCCCAGCTGCTGCTCGCTGGCGCTGTGCGCGCTTTGGGAGAAATTCAAGCTCAGGTCGAACATCAGGTCGTCGGCGTCCTCGCCGCTGCTGCTGCTACTGCTGCTGCCGCTGCTGGACGAAGACGAAGTGGAGACCGAGCGCGCGGACGCGGGCGACAGCGCGGGCTGCGCGAGCGGCGGCGGGTGCTGCTTGGTGATGTTCTTGAAGCTGTAGTAGAGACGGCTGCCGCCCCCAGCGCCGGAGGTCGCGCCTGCCCTCACCTCGTCGTAGAGACTCGCGCCCTCGGGGGACTCGGCCGAGCTGCTCAGCGTAGGGCTGGCGGGCACTTTGGCGACGTTGTAGCGTCTCAGCAGCTGTGGCGGCTGTTGCCCGGGTGGCTGCAGGAGTTGCTGGTGCGGCGGCTCCTCGTCCTCCTCGTCCACCTCCTGCTTGATCCTTAGCTGCAGCTCGTCTTCGTCCTCGTCGTCTTCGTCGTCCTCATCTAGAAACACGCACTTGACCGTCTTGCCCGCGCCGGCACCGCCCGCGCCGCTCACGCGCAGGCTGCCCAGCACGTAGTCGTCGCCAGCGCTGCCGTAGTCCCCCGGCTGGGCCGCCTTGCCTGCTCCGGCCTTGGCGCCGGCGGCCGCGGGGGCCTTGAGCTTGCCGCATTTCTTGCTGGAGCCCTTGGAGGTCTTGGCGCCGCCCGCGCTGCCGCCCGCGCCACCGCCGCCGCCTCCCGCGGAGCTCTTCTCCGGGCTCTGGCTCGCGCTGGGCTTGGCCGAGGGGTCCATTTTGGGCTTTTTCCGGGGCCGGTACTTGTAGTCGGGGTAGTCGGCCATGTGCTTAAGCCGCAGCCGCTCCGCCTCCCGGATGAACGGGATCTTTTCGCTGTCCTTCAGCATTTTCCATCGTTTGCCCAGCCTCTTGGAGATCTCGGCGTTGTGCATGTCCGGAGACTGCTCCATGATCTTCCTGCGCTCGATCTTGGACCACACCATGAAAGCGTTCATCGGCCGCTTTATGTGGCCCGACGCCGTCTTGCACCAGTCCGGGTCGCTCTCATCCAGGGCCACCGGGCTGCAAGCCATGAATTCGCCCTCCTCTGTGTCCAGCGCCTCCCGGGGCAGGTTGCTTTCCGCTTCCAAGCTCTCCGCCTGCTGCACCATGATCCGCTGTGGAGCTGGGCGCTCAAACCCGGGCCACTCGGTCTCGTGCAGAGGTCCCCCTCCCCCTCCCACCCCTCCACCTTCCCGGGCAAGTTGCAAAGTCCTCGGCGCCCCGCGTCCGCGGCTCCCCCCCTCCCCCCCGTCCCCCCTTCCAGGCTGCACACAGCGGCTGCGGCTGCTTCGGCGGCGACGGCCGCCCGCTCGTTTGTAGCTGCGGCCGGGACCGGAGGGACAGTAGCGGTAGTGGTGGTGGCGGCGGCGGCGTTCGAGGCAGCCCGGGACCCCTCTCTCCTGCTTGTGGCTCCCGCCGCAAGCGCCGGACCCTAGACACTCCCAATCGCGCGCGCTCCTTCTGCAAAAAGTTGAGGGCTCTCTCTCAACTAGTTATCAGGGTGTCATATGGGTGACATCACTCCCCGGCGCAGCCAATGGTTGGGAGCCGGCTCCGCCCATCTTCCTTTATTAACTCCGTGACTCCACCCCCTTTACCCCGCCCTCAGGGCTGGTTTGCAAAGATGGGGGCGGTGGGGTAGGAGGAGGCATGTCTAGAAATATGTTATTTTTAAAAAATCCGCGTGTGTGCACAGATGCACCTCTCCCCGGGATGCTCGCGAGCGTTGCACCGCACCGCGGAGAGCAGGCGGGTCTGGGGCGAAACGGGGCGCCAACAGAGGGTCTGAGGAAAGGCCCAGTGCCCCTTTGTGCCCACTCCACCCAAGGCCCGAGAGTGCAAGCCCACTGGGCCACCTCGCTCCCCGCGTGCATTCGGGCACGCGCCCAGTCTGGACAGAGGGTGCCCAGCTCCCCCGTGTGAGCTCAGCTGCTCCCCGGAGCGCCCCATGGGGCTGTGCTGCTCGGGGCGCCGCAGCCCGGAGCCCGCGCGAGAAAACCCGCTGTGTGCCTGGCCGGCGGAAGGTGGCGCTTTAACACAACAACCTTTTCATGGCACGTGGGCTCTTTTCTCCTTTTTCCCTTTCTCTCTTTTTCTACAGCAAAGAAATCAATTTAAAGCCTGAGAGTCTGAATGCTCCCTCGCCGGTGCATTTTTTTTGACGTTGTTGTTTTGTTTTGTCCTTCTTCTCTGTCTGCTTTCCCTCCCGGGAGTGTTTGGAGACGTCGCCGTGCGGGTTGGGCTGCGCCGCGCCCCCGCACGCCCCGCCCTGGGTGGAGGCCGGAGTAACGGTCTGCGGGCTTGGCTGTAGCCGGGTCCTCGCGTTCAGTCTGGCCTCTGGCAAGGCCGGTTCCGAAGTGGGTACTGGGACCAGCAGGCTTCAGCAGCCCACCCCCCAGCCCCCTGCGTCACTTGTCAGGGTCTCGCTCTTCCCCCTTTCTCGCTCTCCTCCCTTCGCCGCTCCTCCGCCCCTCCCCCCGACTCCCTTTCTCCTTCCCAGCCCTCCTCTTCCTCTTTGTCCCTCCCCTTTCGTCGCTCACCAACGCCCTCCCCAGCAACCTCGTCCTGAAATCTTGCAGTCGGGAGCTAGCAAGCCTTCTGGGTCGCTTGCTGTTTTAGCTGAGCGACATAAACCAAAGCTGAAATAAGGTGCACTCGAGTCTGAAGGCAGAACATTTCTTGTGTGCGTGCAGCGGTGGGGAGGCTGGAAGGGCGGCAGTGCGCGGGGTGGATGGTGTCGAGCAGCGCAATCCATGTTGCTGTGTTCCTTCGGAACCCGTTTTCCTTTGTGTTTACTTGGTCCCTCATGCCCATCTATGGCTATTCTCCAAGCAATTAAAAGGAAACCGCCGCTTCCTATTTAATGTCTGGTCGTCCCTGTCTTCCTCGTACCCCCCAGCTTGCTGGTGATGGTGGTGGTGGGGGGTGGCAACTTTGAGTAGTTCCTAAGATTCTGCCCCTGCCTCCCTCCCAGTGGCTCAGGAGAGAAGTCGCTGCACAGGACGAGTAGAATTATCTAAAACTACTTCCTTTCAGGTGTGTCCTTGCAAATAACGCTACATTTCTTAACTCACGGATTTTTTCTTTTCTTTTTTGAGGACTTTAATAACATAAAATGGTACCATGTTTTCGCAGATCATTATTTAAAAAAAAAAATAACAAACACCATCACTATGTTTTAAAAGCCTCTTGCGGCATTTATTCTAAAGAAAACTGCCCCCAATACTTGTAATATTCAAGCCAACTTAAATCTCGATAGTGCTGGTTTTTTAAAATTTTACTTTCTTTTTTCTTTCTTTCTTTCTTTTTCTTTTTTCCGCCATTGGAACAGAAAGAATTTAGTCATTCATGCTGGGTGACCTGAAATCTGGAGATGTATAAAACCCAAGGCAGTGTGTGAAAATCCATCTTCACTCCAGCAAAGCGGGCACTGCATCTTGTTTTACTCTTACCTCACACATTTCCTGGCTGCTGGGAAAGCAGCAGGAGGGAGGGGTGGAGCAAGCCATGAATCTACCCTCCTCTCTCCCCCACCCCCCAGCACTGGCAAATCCACACTCCGGATAGAGTGCTTCAAGGATTTTAGCTGTGTTCTCTGCATCAGAGTACGAGGGCACCTACCATTTTAGACGCTGACAGAATGCATTTGAAATCTGGCAAATTCCGTACCCGTTTGCTGCCTTCATTCTGCAGACGGAATCCTGTTGAGCTGTAGAAAGAGAACAATCTGAGGGCTGAGCAATAATGGGTTTTACTCCCATAGTGCCATGATCTTCTCTCTCATCCTCTAGTAGAAGCAAGTGAAAACTCTATCTTTCAAGTATGGAACATAATGTCTGTTCAGAGAAAGGTGGGCTATTTGTTGAAGAGGATAAAGGCAAATAAGTTGGTTGTTTTTGCCGGGAGAATAGGGACTCGGAATGATAGGTGGAATGACTTGATGGGGTTTGAGTAAACACAATGCCGGGTTGGGGGTGGAAAGCCGCTTTGCAGGTGCCTGAGGGGTCCTCGAGCAAATTCCCCCACCCCCCACACAGGCAGCTTTAAGACAGTTTTCACCAAAGATTAGCTAGGATGCTATTTTGTAACATGGACCCATCATATGTATTTAATATTATCCAGATTTAGCAAGGATTTGGAATAAGGAAAGAAAAAGAAAATCAAGTAACTAATCTGTATCTTTTGTTGTTGTTGTTCAGCAAAAGAAAAAAAGTTAAATCAGTATGATTTTCTTTAAGAGGAACATTTTTGAAAACTGCATGCTGCATACAGAAACAATATTTAGTACTGCAGAACAGATGCTTGCAACATCAGCAGGAGCCATTTAAAGGAATTTCAGGTTAACAAATAGAAAATATGGCTTTCTTTAATAATTTTTTTCAGTACTGGGGATTAATCCCAAGGCCTCACACATGTTGAGCAAGTGCTCTACCACTAAGCTACATTCCCAGCCCATTTTACCTTGTTTTAAGATATGGTCTTGATAAATTGCCCAGGCTGCCCTGGAACTTGTGATCCTCTAGCTTCAACCTCCAGAGTGACTAGGGTTACAGCTCTGTGCCATCAAGCCCAAAGAATAATGTAAACTAAAAATGCTGAAGGAATCAAGATTAGCCCATCAGTCATCTTTTCAGAGCCAATGTGTACAATTCTTTTTTGTGTGTATATCTGTATACTTACCCACCAGAAGAGACGTAGCTTGTCTATTAACAATAACCATTGCTGGGTATATAATTAATGTTTGGAGTCTTAATAGTCACATTTGATTAAAACCACAAATGATTACATTCATGTAGTTGTTATTATCTTTTCAGTGCATCTTCACAAATAACTACTAGCAGGGCTATTACATAAGAGAAGGTATTCGATAAACTCTCAACATTCTGATGACACTTGAGAATTAGTATGAAATCGTTTTTCTCTGAAGAAGAAACACTTGTTAAGAAAATAACGTTCTAGAACTATCATGGGGCAAATACTTGACTTATTTAACTGAGCACATGTTTTAGTCAGCTTTTTCACTGCTGTGACCAAAAGACCTGACAAGAACAACTCTAGAGGAGGAGAAGTTCATTTGGTGCTCATTGTTCTAGAGGTCTCAGTCCATGGATAGCCAGCTGCATTGCTCTGGACCCCAGGTGAGGAAGAACATCAGGGAGAAGAACAGGGTGGAGGAAAGCAGCTCAGGGTGTGGTTGTTGAGAGCCACAGCCGAAGGGGCCCCAGCAAACTTCCAGCTGCTGGCTGATGATTGGCTCACAGCGGCCCCAGCAACATCTAGCTGATTGGCTCCTCTGCGGTGATGCTCATTGGGCTGCTTCCCTGCCCTTTCAGACCACGGAGCTGCTCATTGGGGGACTTTTTTGGCTCCGCCCACGTGACCCAGCCAATCGGCCTCAAGAGCAGGAGGATTGTGGGAGGTGGAGAGAAGCTGGTCGGGGAGAGAGAGGCTTGTGGAAAGCCGGTGGTGGCAGTTGAGGCTGTGAGGGTTTTTCCTGAGAGGCTGTTTTGTTTGGCGTGTGTGGTTCTAAAAATAAAGTTAGTTTCTTTTGACAAGTGGCTCCTGATTGTGCCCAGCCAGACTGCGGCAGTGGTGGCTGAGAGAGACAAGCTAGGTCTGCCAGGGACACCCCCAGGGACGACCTTCTCCAGCCACACCCCACCTGCCTACAGTCACAACCCAGCTAATCCCACCCAGGATTGATGCATTGATCAGCTCATAACCAACCATTTCACCTCTGAATCTTCCTGCACCTTTGCACACAAGAGCTTTAGGGATGACTCATCTTAGCCACAACAGCACTGTTTTAAAAGCATCACAGCCCCTTCCATTTCCCAGTCTTTGAAAGGAGGCCAGGCAGTAGGACCCTTGTTCTCCTTCTCTTTAACTGTTCTTGGACTCCTCTGCTTTAGCTGCCTGGATTGACTTCCACGTCAGCCAGGGTGCAGCTCTGAATACCTTCTGTCTGCTAGACTTCCCTACTGAATGTGTGGCAGAGGTGATGAACGGAAGCTGAACTCGCCCTACACACACACACACACACACACACACAGTCTCTAAGCTTTTCTTTCCTAACTTGGGAAACCCTGTCACAACACACGTAGATAAAAATAAAAGTGAGGGTGCATTCTCGGCTCTTCACCTCACACACACACTGAAACACTGAGT